CAAAACACAGCTCATACGGAACTATGTCTCTCAGCAGTTTTGTGTATCTTCTAACCTCCTTCTAGGAAGCCATGCAGCCATCAGCTACTGTGTATTCATCACAGGGATAAACTAAGAACAGTCTGCCAGCATAGGCATATTATAATATACATCCCCTAGATCTTCAGCTATTGGCAATATGTTACATGTTCTACTCTAAAACGGGTGAAACATGTAATATGTTCCAAAGGTGAACTTGTCCTTTAATGAAAGACCCACTGGATGTACACCTTACCTAGACGACTTTGTTCATCAAAACACTGTGTATTATGAACGTATACCTTTTATGTAATATTGTATTTCATCTTTTTTTCATCCTTTAAAGATCAGCAGCACTAACCATGTAACAAACTCTTTGCAACTACTTCCCTATTACTGTATGACATTTCTCAGGGAGGGTCCTAATAGTGACAACAGTGGACTGTATGTGTGTAATGTGTGTTGAAAAGGCTACTTGTAGAGTCCATCAGAAGTCTGTGTGACAGGGTGTCCATGCAGGAGCACATTTGGGAGATAAGGACACAATGGCAAACAAGTAACTTCAAGGCAGGATCATCATGTATTATTTAATGAAAGCTGCAAATTAAAAAAGATTTAAAATGATTTTGGAACTTTATTAGCATAATAAAACTTCTATGAGGTTTTAGTCATTAGACTTTCAACAGAGGAGATGGTCTCAAGTAGAAAACCTACTGTATCTGCAGCAGTAGAAAAGAGTAGCAGACCAATGAAAAAGACTACAGAAGGATGTTGTTTAATAAATAGCAAGGATTTGTTTTTTTATTTCAAATATTTAGAGATTTTATGGTTTGCAGTATTTGTATGCTATGAAAACACTGACAAATTTTGGCTTGATCTAAGGCCTATTTTGTCAAATGACTTAATCCATCATTTAACAGCTTTCAGTATAAACATGATGTTAAACATTTTCATAATGAAACTAGTGAGTGGACTGTTTTTATTTAGGTTAAACATACAAACATAGCCATTCATTTTCCCAGTTGTGTATTGATATTAACTAGTCGACACAGCAGAGGCTTCATTTCTGAGCAGAGTTAAATATATAATTTATTTATTTTGGCCTCTGTATCTTATTTGAAAATACATGTTAAAGGAGGGCTGACATTTTGTGTTTCTTTAAACTTGCTATCATTCTATTAAAATAAAGAGTAAAAGTTTGTCTGCTAAGTGTTATAGCCAACTTGTTTCTCTGTTTGAGACTGAGAAAGTACATTCCTAAAACAAGGCCAGCTTGGCTTAGTTTCAGTTATAACAGATCAACAATGGCAAGTAAAAATAAGCATTATGATTCAGTCTTGTCCATAATTCTCCCAGCTGAACGGGCTACAAAATATATAGACAGCCCAGTCGGCTATCTGCTTGGAATGTCCAGTACAGGGGGGGTGGAATCATTTCACGCCATAAAAGCTTTCCCTTCTCTTGATGAAGTGTCTGCTAGTTTATAGTTGAGTCTCTGCTAACAGCTTCGACACATGAGTGATGAGGGGATAGGGTAGTGCTTGGCATGATCAGAACTATGGCACTTTTATGAAATGTCAGGCAATATGCCGTCACGTACCCATTCGTTGGTGCTCCTATGAATATCTTAAGTGTCTTTATTCATATGTCCGTGTGGCAGTAGCCCTGCATACTTAAAGTCAAGGTTTGAAGATCACAAACTTTTACACTTAAGACAGTCTTAAGATAGGACATATTGTGTAAAACATTTTTTTTATGGTATGAAAATGGTCATGACAGCTGTGTCATTGAGGAATAGGCAGGTTGAATTTTTTTTTTTTTTTTTTGTCCTATAATCTACACTATATTAGCAAAGGCAGTGGTATTATAACAAAGTGGAAGCAACTGGGAACAACCACAACTCGGCCACAAAGTGGTAGGCCACATAAAATGACAGAGCGGGGTCAGCTGATGCTGAAGCACACAGTGTGCAGAAGTCACCAGCTGTCGTCAGAGTCAATAGCTAATGACCTCCAAATGTCAATGAGATTAGCACAACAACAACAAAGTGTAGAGAGCTTCATGGAATGGGTTTTCATGGCCGAGCAGCTGCATCCAAGCCTGACATCACCAAGTGCAATGCAAAGCATCCAGTGCAGTGGTGTAAAGCACGACGCCACTGGATTCTAGATCAGTGGAGATGTGTTCTCTGGAGAGATGAATCACACTTCTCTGGCAATCCGATGGACGTGTTTGGCGGTTGCCAGGAGAACGGTACTTGCCTGACTGCATTGCTGTGCCTGTTCAGCTCAGAGGGGACATTTATGAGAGAAGACGCCTTTTAGAGTCTCTTCTGCTTATAAAAATCTTGCCTGTCATTAGTTTTTGTAATCCTTAACTTTATTACCACTTTCATAGGTGCACATTAACTTTGAGTTTTCCTGGCATGCATGGGAGTGTGTGCATGCTGTGTGAATGAATTGCTTCTTTGAAAGGTCTTTGACCGGTTATGGACATTCAAGTATGTATATATTACTGATAATAAATAGGCTTTAAAGCAAGTCTGAACTGACTTCTGTAGTTGTAGTCACTGTGGAGCAATTCTTCCTCAAAATTTACATCTAAAGCTTTGACACAAAAGTCTGATCACAACACTTTCCTCTGTTCCCCCCTGCTTTTTGTTTCCAATAGAAATTAGAAGGCTGGCAGACAGTTGAGTCACTACTGATGAGTGGAGCTACAAAGAGAAAATGAAACCTAAGAAGCTTTAGCTGCAAATTTTTAGTATAAATAATTCTATAGTGGTTGTAGCTACATTTGTTAGTGAAGTCTTGTTTATTTATTGCTTGTTTATTTGCTTTAAAAGGACAACTCAAGCCACAGCTTCTTACTGCAGTTGGTAGTTTCAATATTAGACCCGTTTTGACTAGGCTGCTTCCCCCATATCGTACACGCCCATCGCAGGTTTCTGTTACTGGTGTCCCCAAGTTCACCTATTTGCGCTAGCCACTATAACTGATTATCTTTTAAAGTGGGGTTTATGTACAGTGGATATAAAAAGTCTACACACCCCTGTTAAAATGTCAGGTTTCTGTTATGTAAAAAAATTAGACAAAGATAAATCATATCAGAATTTTTTCCACCTTTTAATGTAACCTATAAGCTGTACAACTCAGTTGAGCAACAAACTGAAATCTTTTAGGTGGAGGGAAGTAAAAATAGAAAACTAAAATAATATGGTTGCATAAGTGTGCACACCCTTAAACTAATAATTTGTAGAAGCATCTTTTGATTTTATTCCAGCACTCACTCTTTTTGGATATGAGTCTATCAGCATGGCACATCCTGACTTGGCAATATTTGCCTGCTTTTTGGTGCAAAAACACTCCAAATCTGTCAAATTGCGAGGGCATCTTCTGTGCACAGCCCTCTTCAGATCACCCCACATATTTTTGATCGGATTCAGGTCTGGGCCATTCCAAAACTTTAATCTTCTTCTGGGGAAGCCATTCCTTTGTTGATTTGGATGAATGCTTTGGGTCATTGTCATGCTGAAAGATGAAGTCCTTCTTCATGTTCAGCTTTCTAGCAGAAGCCTGAAAGTTTTGTGCCAGTATTGACTGGTATTTGGAACTGTTCATAATTCCCTCTACCTTGACTAAGGCCCCAGTTCCAGCTGAAGAACAACAGCCCAAAAGCATGATGCTGCTACCACTATGCTTCACTGTGGCTATGGTGTTCTTTTGGTGATATGTGGCAGTGTTTTTGGAATTATGGCCAAGAAGTTCAACCTTGATTTCATCAGACCATAACACATTTTCCCACATGCTTTTGGGAGACTTTAGATGTATTTTTGCAAAATTTAGCTGGGCTTGGATGTTTTTCTTCATAAGAAAAGGCTTCCGTTTTGCCACTTTACCCCATAGCCCAGACATATGAAGAATATGAGAGATTGTTGTCACATGTACCATACAGCCAGTACTTGCTAGATATTCCTGCAACTCCTTTAATGTTGCTGTAGGCCTGTTGGCAGCCTCCCAGACCAATTTTCTTCTCGTCTTTTCATCAATTTTGGAGGGACGTCCAGTTCTGGGTAATGTCACTGTTGCGCCATATTTTCTCCACTTGATGATGACTGTCTTCACGGTGTTCCATGGTATATATAATGCCTTGGAAATTCTTTTGTACCCTTCTCCTGACTGATACCTTTTAACAATGAGATCCCTCTAATGCTTTGGAAGCTCTCTGCGGACCATGGCTTTTACTGTAGGATGCGACTAAGAAAATCTCAGGAAAGACCTACTAGAACAGCTGAACTTTATTTGGGGCTAATCAGAGGCACTTTAAATGACAGCAGATGTGTACTGACTCCTATTTAGCATGATTTCAGTTTTGTTTTTCAATTTAGTTGTACAGTTTAAAGGTAGAAAAAGTTCTGAAATTATTTGTCTGTCTCATTTTTTTTACCTCACATAAACCTGACATTTTCACTTTTTATATCCACTGTATGGAGTAATCTCCAGTGTATTCAGGCAGCTACCCCATGGTTGCAGTGATCGCATCTAATAGGATGTAGTCGCCATTCGGCCAATAATATTCCCACCTGACTTAGTCTATTTGTAAAGCTGGGTGGTGCTTGCAGGGCCACCCATGGCTTGAATTACAGCAGATTCCACAGGAATCGTCTGACATTTGACCTGTTTATGGTGGCCTTAAGGGTGCATTCATACCTTCAAATGCACATGCATTCTGATTAGATGTGAGAAACCCAGCAATTAGACTTTTTATATCCACTGTATCTAGTATTACTTAGAATGCAGAGTGTTGGGTAAAAAGGTGCCATAGTTTTGTGTACGTTATCTGTACAGAGGAATCTTAAAGCATAGAAATGGGCAAGCTTCATCCTCTTAATGCTTCTATTTTGCTGATAGCTGTCTAACTATCACTAGAGTTGCAGCTTTTTATATGAACAATACATAATTCGTTTTTTTCATTATTTATAGGTTGAACTTGAAAGAAAATTAGAATCCACAACAAAGTCCAAACTCCACTATAAACAGCAATGGGGAAGAGCCTTGAAGGAACTAGCTAGGATAAAACAGGTGAGTAGTTGTTTAATTGAAAATATAGTAACCACTTTAATAATTTCCTTTGGTTGCAAATGTACCTATAACTGTATTTGCCAAGGCATGTTTCTATCCCTCTAACACTGATTGGAACATACACCACACCATCATTGAGGGTTCTTTCAAACAGGCAGTAAGCATGCTACCCACTGAAATGTTATCTACGTTGGATCACTTTTCAGAGGGTGGTATGAGAGGTGTACTAGAAGTTCTACTGTTGCCCTTTTTTTGTTTTGTTTTTTTTTTGTGTTCACATTGTGGCACTGTGCATTTGGTTCGCAGTTGCAGTGCAGACTTGTTGGGCTAGTTTGACAGGCGATACTGCCTGTCAAACTCTAGCTCGAGTTAAAAATGAGGCAGAACATCAGTTTGTGACTTGTGTACAGCCCTACTAGGCTGTAATGGAAGAATTCAGGTGGGTGTCCAGGGGTCAAGGAAAACTGCAGCTCAGCCACCTGTAATTGGGGTGGCTGCATTTTAGTAAAATTTTTAAGCCAAGAACATTTTCAGCAAGTACAGGGAACATTCCTTTTGATTGTGCCAGAAATGCAGTGACCTTATAATTTCCTGTGCTCTGAACTGAAAGCACATGTATTGTCTACCTTCCAAGTTATCTTTTGTAAACTACTAATTCCTGTCGCACCCTATAATGAAGACAAATAAATCCTGTTTGTATTCCAAATAAGCAGAGTAGCCTGGGAGGCAATCATGGCTCTCTCCATAGATACAATGGATGAGTGAGTGTAGCCACCTAACATCAGAAAAGATATTCAATTACCATGTAAAAATAAAGGTAAAGCACACTTGCCTTTCACCTATTCCCCATTCCCTCTCGTCACTTGTACTTCTCCCCTTTATCTTTTACTTTTGTTTGCTTTCTTACTTGAATTGGGCACTAATATTCAGTGATATATTTTTTACTTCTCACCAGTGACAAGCTTCCCCACCTCTGAATGGGGAGGATGTAACATTGTAATTGTAAAGAGGTTGAAAAAAAATGTTATCTTTGTTTCCCCTTTTTTTTCCCCACCCTTTTTTAAGCTTCATAAGAAAATAGGTTCCAGGCCTTTCGGGTAATACTTTCTTTGACCCTTTGGAACCTGCAGATTGGAAACAACATTCGTTGGGGCTGTATATGGCTCAGCTGCATTGTTTTCCAGTTACAGTACACTTCTTTGACCGACTTTTCATTTTAGTCTATCTTAGCTATGACCTTAGCTGTAAGTGGCCTTGAGCCCTTTTTACTGTGTAAACCCTACTTGTATACTATTCTGCCTGAAGTGTTCCTGTGTGTCCTGGATACTGAGAGCGAATTAAAAAATAAAGGTTAAAAAAGCCACCACATCCAAGTACTTATAAGCTGCACAATGTTTCATTTTGTTTTTGCGTTTAGATGCGCTTTGACTTGAAGGCTAACCAGACACTGGGGGATATTTACTAAAACTGGTGCACACAAAATCTGGTGCAGCAGTGCATCGTAACCAATCCGCTTCTAACTTCAGCTTGTTCAATTGAACTTTGCCAATAAAACCTAGAAGCTGATTGGTTACTATGCACAGCTGCACCCGATTCTGTGTGCACCAGTTTTAGTAAATATCCCCTATTGCATAATGTACTGTATACTGTGGCTGTATAGGTGCTGTTACCTCCTGTATGTTATGTTATCTTAAAAAAATGAATATCAAGAGACGTATTGTTTAAAAAAAAAAAAAACAGAAATAAGTAATTATTACTGCTGTTGGGCAGCAGTTTTAACTAGAGATTTGTTTCCCCCAAGTACTGTCCAATGTGTCGCACATATAACAAATAAGATGTAAGAATTTATGTCTATTGTTACTAAATGTTAATGATGAAACCCAATTGGTAGAAGCTTTACAGACTTGCCTCGCTAGCATGAGTGCCCACTGCCAACAGGGAATGAGTAATGATTTCCATTACCACGTTGTGCCTTTGCTAAGTCTGTTTCATGAATTATTGTAAGAGTTAGACTATAGAGTAAACATTTGGAAAAGCTGCCTGCTTTGTGATTTGAAAGATCCCGTTCTGTGTTCGTTCATTAAAAAAATAATAAATCTTGAGTTATTACTGCCACTTGAAAAGATGGTATAATGTTCAACAAAGCCAGACTGCAGATTTTTTTTTTCCAACTGGAGCTTGTGTTATGTATGGGTTTAACTTTAATCTCAGCTGAAAGTGTAAAAAGCTGTTAATTAAACATGGGGGGTGTAAAATGTAACAAGCTCTGGCACAATTTTTTATTTGATTAGTTGGTGTTTGTGTCTTCTATTTTAGCAATGTGTCTAACCATAATTACTGGGGTTGCATCTCAGATTAATTTCATTTAATATTCAATGGAAGTTTATTTCATGGTATTTCTCATATTTTATAGAGTTTATTTTTTAAATGCCAGTTTTCTAATTAACTGTTGGTGGTCTGGTGCAGATCACAGTGCATTTGCTGTTAAAGTGGAACTAAACTAGCTGAGCACCAGCAATTGAAAACCCTATTTTAATTCATTTTTAATATTCACTGCAAACTCATCCATCCATGTCTCTATGCTTCATATTGTTGAGAATTCACTTTGAAAAACACACCCTAGCATTTCTAGCCACTGCTTGCTTGAGTAAGGGCAGATGTAGCACTTCCTGGAATCCATCTACCCTTAGCACATGCAAGCAGGAGGTTGTGCTTATCTGAGAAAACTCTTCTTCCTCTCCTCCAGATGAAAGAAAAAAAAATTCTCATGAAATGTATGACATCATTTTGGATTAGACAAGAAACCAGGAAGCAAATGAGAAAATGTGAAAAAAAAGTTAAAACAAGGAAATATACCATACATTCTAATTTACTAATGCTAGCAGCATAAAGAGAAAAATGGTCAATGTTGGTTAAAAAAGTTTTGTTCCACTAATGGAAAAGCTTGTCTCAGACAATGTACCTTTATGCAATACTGACAAACCAGTGGTTCTAAAGGCAGAATTTTTTTACCTTAATGCATTTTCTGTCAGTGGACACACAAAGCTGGCTTGGGATTGAGCCCTCACGAGTGTCCCCCCACAGCAAGCAGCTTACTGTGAGGACACTTGGAAGAGGGGAGGAGCCAGTAGTGCTGGTGGGGGACTCCAGATTAGGAGGATTGGGGCTGCTCTGTGCAAAACCATTGCACAGAGCAGGTAAGTTTCACGTTTGTTTTTTTTGTTTTGTTTTGTTTTTTTATGTACCTTTTTACAACCTCTTTAATACCAACAGTTTTATCAAACTGCCATTTCAGTTCTCTAGTGGAATAAAAAGCAAAATGGCTTTAGCACAAGGACAGTTTGAGAGTTGCAGCCAATGAACTGTGTTACTGGTGATCCACATATCAACACAGATCTAGGATGACACTTTTTAGTATATATGCTTAAATAAATGATGTTGCAAGGAGATCCACTATAAGTTACATACAAAGGTACCCATTTCTACAATCTGTCCTATTTATCACTGTGAGTCCCTATAAAGCATTGCAATTTATGCTCCAGAATACCCAGATGTGCACAGCTGAGGAAGATGTTGTCATATTGCTAAGTAGTTTGTGTCTGCAAATCCCTGCATCGAGAGCAGAAATAACGCAAATCTAGTTGAAGTGTTTGCCCTCTCACATGCAGGACAAATGCAAATATTGGACAGGAAATGGGCTTTGTTTTAATTATGTGCAAAAGTGAATGAGTCCTATATGAATTTTGCTTCAGATATTTGTGTTCTTTTAAATCAATTGGATGTACCACAATTGAAACCTGCTAGCTACTAATATGGCTGTCTAACAAATGTAAGGGGGTCACCATACAATTTACATACAAAGTGTATGCAGATGTAAAGCCTGGAGCTCTTCACTGTGCCCCCTTCCCTGAATTTATTCTGAAATTGGTCATCATTCACCATATAATTCCCACTGTATAACAAGGGAAAATATATATTTTGTAAGGATCAACCCTGTTTTATTGGGCTTATTTCATAAAACTAATAGAGATTAGTAGTAATGTGCAAAATGTAGCACCCAAACACAAATGATCTTTTACTGGAGCCCTTAGTATACAGAAATGTAATTTGTCACAGTGGGTTAGGTAATTTTGGGTATCATTATTGTTCAGTGTGTGTTGTTATTGAACAAGACTGTATATGTGTTATAGTGAAAATGAGATTCACCTCCTCTGCATTGTCTCTGTTCCATTTATTTCTATAAGTTTTGAGTATTAGAGTTTATTGCTAATTTCTGTCATACAATCAAATCATCACTGATTTTTAAATAAGTACAGTTATTTGATACCTTCTATAATGTATATTATGCTAGCTACAAGACCTTCTCCTTAAGAGAATGGATGTAAGAAAATATACAAATCACAGCCTATGAAAAGTATGGCTAAAAGTAATAGTTGTACGAAATTGTTGGTGGTGTGCAGAGCAAGACAATTGTGTGGTTTGGGATGTAAAACAGGGGAGCATAAATGTTTAATTATCTTGTGCTGTCTGGACGGTGCCTATCTCTCTTCCTTATTTTTTTAAGGGCAAGTAGAAGAAGCAAGTCCAGGTCATTTGTCGTGTAATCAGACAACAAGCTCTTTTGCTGCATTTGCTCAGCACAGATTTTTCTGTCTGACATCTGGACTTTGCTGCTCCTGTCCCGTGCTTATCCACTCACAATAATTAATTTGATTCATTATTAAGTCGTTTAGCCAAACATGGGAAGCAAGGCTTTGTTTAGAAATATATTAGTTGGGGTTTTTTGGGCTAGGTTGAAAACTGTGTCTTGAAACCATCCAGGCCCTCCTACTGGCTTGTCAGATCTGGGTTATTTTCAGAAAACTTGACTTGAGTTTCTTTAGAGAACATAGAATTATTTTCCCACAGACCTAACTTGGTATGTATGAGTGGGAGAGTGAGCAGTGGCCACTATTTAGTGATTGTTTAGTCTACTGTATGTGTGTTTACCCCTCTTCTCA